AAATCGGGCCCGCCGCCCGCTCCGAACGGGGAGTAATTAACGTTGGACCCGCTCAGGCTGTCGTTGATCGGTGCCTTCCAGCCCCAGACGTCGTTGTTAAACCCTAGGTTGTTGAAATCGGTCTTGGTGTCGCCGGCGAGATTTGGCCCGGCGTCTGGTCCTGGGTTCCGGAAATCGAAGTTCCGGCGCTGCTCCGCCGGGCGCTTGGCGGCGTAGCTAGCGCTCCAGATGGAGTCGTTGAGGGAGAGATCGGCCAGGGTGTTGGTCTGGTGGCGGAGATTGTCGCTGAACTGCCAGAAAGACGATTGATTTGTGTTGTCCATCGATTTTTGTTCAAGGATCTGCACAAAAGGTAAAGATTTTAAAAAATCAAATCTTGATGATGGGGTAAAGATGAAGAGAAAAGTAGAGTGTTTGAGGTATATGAGAAAATGGTAATGCAGGAAAATGGTGATTTATAAATGGTGGACGAAAGGGATGGGAAAGAGGAAGTTTCAGAGAAAGTGTGATAGCGTGTAGAATTTGTCAAACCATCGTGTGGAAGTGGAAAGGGTCATGGCTTATACTGTGTGCTAAGGAAGACACACATTGCAGGGTGATGCTATAGTTCAATTGCGGAACCATTGGGATTTGTAACTGTTAAATTAATTATTTCTGATGGTTATATGATGATCTAACGGTCTCAAACTCCAATAACATAGTTCCGTAACGGGATCGAAGTATTTCCCCAAATTATATAGATTATTAAATAATAAGAATAATAAAAATATATATAAAGAATTAGCACGACTAGTTAACGATTATTTTCAACGCATATTTAGTATTTAATGCTTTATATATATAACTACACATCATATACGAACACACATTACAAAATTTTAAATAATATATTTTTCTTCAAAAGAAAAAAAATGTTCGAACTATAACTTACAATTACTATTTTACTATTTATTTTATACGCTTTGTGACTTTTCATGATAGTGTATCATCATTCACTGTGTTTCATGTATTAGGTGTTTATCTCATGTGTTTCCTATTTGTAATTCTGATTGACTTAATATTTTGGTGTTAAGTACAATAACAATATTATTAATAATTGTCTTTCGGAATCATAATAATCCGTTACAACTCATACTTACATGTCAAGTGGAATAACAAAATTGTAATATACAAGGAATCTAGTAACATATTACTTACTTGCGACAAACATTTACACCACTCAACCAAAGTTAAACGGACCAGCCTTATCCGATGTCGGGACTAGCCCTAACGGGCTTCAGGTTAAATGGTTCGGACCTAAAAACTTAATTTAAACGGGTTACCAATAAAAGATCGTAACCTTTTTTTTTTTATTTAAACGGATTACCAATAAAAGATCATAACCTGTTTTTTTTTTTGGACTAAAAGGGTTTGCCCGGCGAACTATTGTTTAACATCTCTATTTATTAGCCATTTCAATAATATTTCATTCTTATACCAATTTTTTTTATAATTTTGGACTATGTTTTATTCAAATAAGTTCTCTAAAATAATCTATTTGAATTTTTCTAACATTTGAAAACAAAAGGAGAGGGGGATTTTGTTTTTCTAAACATTTTTCTTAGAAAATTATGTAGTAAGTAATAAGTCAGTAATTTTTCCTTACTCACGGTGGGCACATGTTAATATGTCCACTGATTATGTAGTATGCACATATTGGTGATATATATTTTTTAACATATTAACATTACCAATGTGTGCATGGTACATAAACAGTTGACATATTAATATGTGTCCACGTGTATAAAGGAACAATAATAAGTGACCGATTAAGTTAGTTGGGGGTTTAATTTAGAATTAGGTGAAGTGGATTGGAGTGATGACCGCAAACACGCGTTTCTTTTAAAGTTGTGGTGACGTGGATTGACTGAAAGTGAACTACGGGATTTTTTTTTTTTTTTTTTTTTTTT